GAGGCAAACCTACTTCAGTCAGGTGCACTACAAGCAAGATGAGAAGCTAAAATGATTACTTATAGAACACTTAATAGAAATACTGTAAAATACGGATAACATATTATTTACAATATATAAGGGAACAATACTGGATTCATATAAGAGCCAAAGTACGTTACCATCGATACCAGAAACAACTCAAGGGGATAGAAACCTACGGTCTAAAACACTAAACACTGAAATCAAATCAAGATACAGCTATTTCAAAAAACGTTGTCGGGGAGAACGGCGAACGGCGATTGTCGAAGAGAGATTGCGCGACCGAAATGGACTATAGTTACACTGTTAGTTGCACTTATTGCATTAACCTTAAATAGAAATGGAGTCTAAAAAGAGCCAATGTTAACCACAGAACATCTTAGAGTATAAATCAGTTGATATTTCCTTTCAATTAGGAAAACCCATGGCTACTTTCGGTCTTGAAATCGCACATATTCACAATTTTATCCGACAACCTTTTTTGAAATAACTATACACAAATCACGGAAATTGTTTATTAATTATCAGGTTTATAGGAGATTTTATTATGCGTAATATCCATGTGCATATCGCAAACACATACGGAAAATGTACGTTTGATTATCCTTATGAGTTTCTGGTGATACACATTATCAGTATACTGTAAATAAGAACTGCTTAAATTGAAAGGAAATTGTAGGGATTAGTAGCAGTACGAATATTCAGGATTCCCGTTAGCAAGGAATCTACGTAGTTTACACACGTTTAAATTTCCTTATGAGTTTCTGGTGATACGCATTACCAGTTTATTGTAAATACGTAAGAAATCTTAAGCTACACGTTTCTGGTGATACGCATTACCAGTTTATTGTAAATACGTAAGACATCTTAAGCTACACGGAAAATATATGGATACGTAGTAATACGAATATTCCACTGTACGGAACGCAAAAAAGAACAGAAATATAGGGTATATGCCTACATAAAATTGTCCATTCTGATTGGCTGACGAACCGTGAATCTTGTCATAATTCGTACAATTAAATATTATCACACGTTCAATTAATTCATTGCACGAATCTATCCCATAAGTCTTTGCGAATGACCTACGCGCGATGATTTTTCGGTATCAGACTGCCCCATGAAGCGATGGAAACGAATATTTTATTAAGGTATGATATCAAAAGGCTGAAATACGCGCGGTATTTTTCATTTATCCTTCTTAAGGTGGAATTTCCTATACTAATTCCCTTGTGCCAGTTTCAGATGATACGTATTATCACAATAATGTAAATAAGCATTACGTAAATTATACGGATACGTAGTATAGACAGTATAGTATGAATATTTCAGGACACTGGAAGCAAGAACTCTTACGGCAGATACACGCGTTTTGAATTTTTTCTAATTTTTACTATTACATAAGTTAATATTTTAGAACCTTTTGTATTATAAGATATATCTTAATACTGTACAGTTGGTGCCATTAAAATTGTATATACTCTCACAATACTTAAGACTATTTATTTATTGTTTTTGCAAATCGAAAGGATATAGGCTTTGTAAGGGTTAACCCAGGATTAGCGCTTTAACAACCCGGCCCTGGGGTTGAAGAGCAAGAAGGGAAAGAGGAGGAAAAGATTGAAAACTCAACATGAATAAATTCAACGTAAAGAAAAATACAGAAACAAAACTATTTACTACTGTCGAAACGATAACAGATAAGAAAGATTTTATGATTTAGTACTATTTAAGGACGAAATATGAGCAATTGATGCAAATTATTGCATGTTTTTTTAAATACACCTGTTTTAAAAAGCGTTGTCGAGGAGAATGGAGATTGTCGAATGGAGATTGCACGACCGCAAGGGACTCTGGTTATACTGTTTTGAGAAACAACATTTCACTTGTCACCTTGCATAGAAATGGAGACTAAATAGAGTCTTAGATCTTAGAGTCATGATTATTCTTCAGCATTTTTCTCTTATATCATCCTCTTCTCTGCATTATTCTCTAAGTTATATTATCTTATTCTCCAACAGTTTCTTCAGTTTGAAAACAAAACAACATAAAGAAAATATATGCAAATGTAGCCAGGACTGCTGTGATAAAATAAATATATTTTTTGTAAGGTTTCGTTGTAATTTTTCAATCAAAATCCCCTTTTCAGAGTCGTAGAAACGTGAAAAAATGGAATTCCCCCTCTTGACATCCTTGCGGAAGTCCATGGCTCACTTTTATTTATATTTTTTTTGCCCAGATAATGTTTACTTACATTTTTAATTGTATGTATTCAATATTGTCGTGTATTTCATTTCTCGTCAAATGAAAGTCACGTATTCTCAATGGAAAAGTTTATTCATTCAAATTAAAAATTAATGACAGCCGAATTGCAGACAGAATTCACATTACAATGGAATAAACAAAATAAAATTAATATTGCATTGCATATCGCGACAGTTTTTCTGCAGCATTTTGGATGTTATATTCAAATGTTTCTAGAGATGCATTCATGGATGGTCAAGCTGGTTTGTGTTAAGCAATGGCGTCGCACCTGCCGAAGTAAGCTCAATAAATTACCAAATCGTAAAATTATTACGCAACGCAAGGCTTTATACGAGTTACAAGACATTATTCTACTTATTTTGATAACTTTTTTCGGCTAGTTTTTACTAAGATACAAATTTGAAAGCGAGCAAGAATCATGCGCAGTAAAGCTGAAAGCTACGATTGACGACAAAAGCGACTTGCTGNTCACTTGTCACCTTGCATAGAAATGGAGACTAAATAGAGTCTTAGATCTTAGAGTCATGATTATTCTTCAGCATTTTTCTCTTATATCATCCTCTTCTCTGCATTATTCTCTAAGTTATATTATCTTATTCTCCAACAGTTTCTTCAGTTTGAAAACAAAACAACATAAAGAAAATATATGCAAATGTAGCCAGGACTGCTGTGATAAAATAAATATATTTTTTGTAAGGTTTCGTTGTAATTTTTCAATCAAAATCCCCTTTTCAGAGTCGTAGAAACGTGAAAAAATGGAATTCCCCCTCTTGACATCCTTGCGGAAGTCCATGGCTCACTTTTATTTATATTTTTTTTGCCCAGATAATGTTTACTTACATTTTTAATTGTATGTATTCAATATTGTCGTGTATTTCATTTCTCGTCAAATGAAAGTCACGTATTCTCAATGGAAAAGTTTATTCATTCAAATTAAAAATTAATGACAGCCGAATTGCAGACAGAATTCACATTACAATGGAATAAACAAAATAAAATTAATATTGCATTGCATATCGCGACAGTTTTTCTGCAGCATTTTGGATGTTATATTCAAATGTTTCTAGAGATGCATTCATGGATGGTCAAGCTGGTTTGTGTTAAGCAATGGCGTCGCACCTGCCGAAGTAAGCTCAATAAATTACCAAATCGTAAAATTATTACGCAACGCAAGGCTTTATACGAGTTACAAGACATTATTCTACTTATTTTGATAACTTTTTTCGGCTAGTTTTTACTAAGATACAAATTTGAAAGCGAGCAAGAATCATGCGCAGTAAAGCTGAAAGCTWCGATTGACGACAAAAGCGACTTGCTGAAAGAATTGAGCTTGCATTAACAATTCAGTTAAACAGCTGACAGTTATTCACAAGCATTGGCTCGTGACAAAGATATCCCATCGTGTGAATTCAATACAGACGACGATTCAAGAAAGATTTTCTTCGCTTAAGTTTGGAAAGAAAACTGAAAGAAAGCAAAACAAACCGAAATCGCAATAATAGGCTTAAGAGATTTTCCTGTTTACACTTGTCCAAGTGTGCCATCTTGGAGAACTTGAAAGACATGTTACGAGACAGTTCGTCAATTTTTACATGATACAAAAGACAATTTCAAGCTTATATATCTGTTGGATTCCACTTTTGAAGAGGTAACAGCGAACACTGGCAATTMAAARACATTCAAGAAAATCACCTTTTTAAAGAAATTTTATTTCTGAGCGGTCAGAAGTTTCACTTGTAATACACGGCGAAAAGGAGAAGACAAAATACTGTGAAGAATTAAAAATCTTGAGAAACTTCTCTGGCAAAATGTGCTGGTGTTTTTCATCAATAAAACATTGGGAAGTAAATACCAAAGCCGGACAAAATGACAAATGTTATTCGATACGAATCCAGAAGCCGTTTGGATGGAGTAGTGCGTTTGATCTTTACGTTAACAACAACGTAATCTCAAAACACCTTCCGCTGAAGAACTATTCGCCATTTTACCGAATAAGAGGGCAATTTGGTTGGGAACAAGACAGCAATTTCTTCTTAATAGTTCGGGATTGTATATTATTCGCTGCATTTTCTCACAAATATAGACTATTTGTGAATAGATTTGACACTGAAAGTGGGCTTGAGTTTRCRGAGTTTTGGAAACATAGAGGCTGGCAACATGTRTTTGTGGGAATTTGCATATTGGCTTTATGCGTCGGGATGGCTTTGATGTTGAACTATGTMGSCCAAAAATCTTTATTTCTTGCGTTTGATATTTTATTAACAATTTTGGCTGTAGTTATCATATCTTTTGGAGTRTTTTTAATCATTTACAAGCATAAAAATACTGGAGATGTTTACATTGCTGGGCAGCCTGTGGTCAATGAAGGTTTTGAAGATTCTTCAGGAATGGCGAAGGAACCTTCAACTGAAATTGGAGTTAACGCTTTTTCTACGATGGCCACTTCTTCGTGTTAGATCTCAATACTGCATTATCAAGAGGAATTATTCAGATAACYTTACTGCATATGCAATCTCAGTAATTCTTTCAATTCAATGTAGAGCAATTTCACGATTCTCTATGTTTGAAATTGACAATTGAAATTGAAATTGACGATTTTTTAATTATTCGTATTATCATTAAATGTTAAATTTAGCTTAGAGTTCATTTTGGCCGACATTCAAGAATGTATCCGACMGTCCTTTTTAAGTAGCCGTTTTCTCACTTAGAGTGTAAATCGTAAATTTTTCTTTAGTTCATTTCCACCTCTTTTATGATAAAAAGACTGGAAAGGAACCAGCGTCGTCACACCACATTCGCAAACTAGTAAAAACCGTGACGTCACGTGAAAATGCGCGGGAAAAAAGACGTCGCGACCGTGCATATAATATTTGTAAAAGTTTATCTACTGACAAAGTAGTTGTTTAACTGCAATTCTTTGCGTGACTCAAAGTAAAATTGCGCAGGAAAAAATATGTCGCGASCGCATATATAATATTTACAAATAAAAGTTTGTCTGCTGCCAAAAAAAGTTGTTTTAGAAAGGCTGCGTGACATCACATACGCAATTCTTTGCG